CCCTTCAGTCCGCAGGCCGATGCTTTATCCACTGAGCCAAACCTGTTAGGGCTGGTCCTCACATTTAAACACATTTCCTTTTTAAATATGTTTTTATTGATTTTAGAGAGAGAGAAAGGGAGAGGGAGAGAGAGAAACATTGATGGGAGAGAGAGACATCGATCGGCTGCCTCTTGCACACCCTGCACTGGGGAGTGAACCCAGGAACTCGTGGTTCAACCACCGAGCCACCCTAGCTAAACACATTTTTTAAAAAATATTTATTTTTATTCATTTCACATGCCCTTGACCGGAATCGAACCCGGGACCCTTCAGTCCGCAGGCCGATGCTTTATCCACTGAGCCAAACCTGTTAAGGCTGGTCCTCACATTTAAACACATTTCCTTTTTAAATATGTTTTTATTGATTTTAGAGAGAGAGAAAGGGAGAGGGAGAGAGAGAAACATTGATGGGAGAGAGAGACATCGATCGGCTGCCTCTTGCACGCCCTGCACTGGGGAGTGAACCCAGGAACTCTTGGTTCAACCACCGAGCCACCCTAGCTAAACACATTTTTTAAAAAATATTTATTTTTATTCATTTCAGCGAGGAAAGGAGAGGGAGAGAGAGAGAGAAACATCAATGATGAGAGAGAACCATTGATCGGCTGCCTCCTGCACGCCCCACATTGGGGATGGAGCCCGCAACACGGCCATGTGCACTGACTGGGAATCGAACCGTGACCTCCTGGTTCATAGGTTGACGCTCAACCACTGAGCCACGCCGGCCGGGCAGGAGGTCTCTCTCTGGAAGGAGCCGTGGCCTTTGGGAGACAGGAGAGACCAGGGTGAAAGCGAGCTTGGTGTCCCACCAGGCTGCCACTCCTGGCTCTGCTCGGTCACTGCTGGGTGCCCTGGGCCTAGGACGGTGCCCGGCACACTGGAAAACTGTCAGATAGCGGCCAGCAGAGCGTCCCGGGGTCTGAGTTGCAGCTCTGCCCCCACAGGCCTCTGATTCGCTTTCGGTCACTGCTGGGTGCCCTGGGCCTAGGACAGTGCCCGGCACCCTGGAAAACTGTCGGATAGCGGCCAGCAGAGCGTCCCGGGTTTGAGTTGCAGCTCTGCCCCCACAGGCCTCTGATTCGCTGGCACCTTGTCCGCGTCATTAGCAGGGGTGGTGAGGTGCCTTCTTCCCAGGGGACAGTGAGATCCAGTGAAGTAGTGCAGGTCAGCGGTCAGCAGGGCACTGCCAGGGAAATGGCCGCTCCAGGTGGCTGCGACTGTCGCTGAGTTTTCACAGGTCTCTCTGTGTTTGACCCCTGATGCAGACTCCCACAGGGGACCCTGGCCCAGCAGGTGACAGCTGTCATTTTGCATCTACCTGAGCAGGCTGGTGGTACCAGCCTCGGGGAGAGAGGGCACGCAGGATTGGCCGAGGGAGAGGGCCTCTGGGGGGAGCCACGCCTGTTTGTCGAAGGAGCGCGTGTGTACGTGTGAGTGTGGACGCGTGTGGAACTGTGTGTTGGTGCCGTCGCTGAAGGCCCACGGGGTGGCTGTCAGTGCCCCAGCCGTGCCACCCTGTGGGGCTCCCTAGTGCGGGGACGTGGGATGTGGACCTGGTGTCCGCCCCGTCACCGGCTGAGCCGGTTTGCCGTGTGTGGCTCTCGCCCGGGAAGGTATTGCACAGGAGATGCAACGTGTAGGAATGTGCCCTCCACCCAGCACCCGGGACTCGTGAGCTGCTCCCGCTCTGCTCCTGCCTCTCGGCTGTCTCCAGGACACACACTCGGCGTTGCCCTTGCTCGATCTTTGCGAAAAGCTCACTTTGGCTAGAAGGGGGAGCGTGGAGCGGTGGGAGCCTCCTGCGGGGCCGAGTTGGGGGGGTGGTGCCTGCATAGGGCACATACCAGTTCCTTCTCTCGTCAGGGCCAGGGGAGAGGCTCAGTTCGCACTCAACGAGACCAGAATCCTTGTGTTTATACAGAAGCAAGTCCCAGGCACAGGATTGTGTGTCCGTGAAGCTTGGGGTGGGGCGGAGAGGCCTTGGCCGGATCGAAGCTGTCATGTGGCCACTATCATGTGGCTGCGATTATGGTCCAGGCCAGCAACCCTACTGTGCGCCCAGCAGATCCAAGTTCATAACCCCGCAGAGCACTGGGGTGGGGGAGGAGCGCCCTGTTGTCCAAAGAAAGAGCAGCATTGGGCGCTTGTGAGGCTCCTGCCTGCCAGGCGTTTGGGGCCAAAGTCCTGACTTCCCTGCCCTGGAGGGAACGCCTGCAGGAGAGCACGTCCCTCCATCTGAGGTCCTCGGGACGGATAACATCAGGGCAAGTTCTGCCCGAAGCCCACAGGGCCTGGGGCTGCGGAACTCGCTCTGAGGACCTGACTCCTGAGGCTTGTGGTCCATCTTCCTTCACTTAGTCCAGGCTCCTCACCTGGCTGCCTGGGACCCCCCTTGGGCCTGGGTGGGCACTGGGCGGCCTTACCAGGAGGTCAGCTCCCTGCATGTCTCCTCGGTGTCCCCACCCCCCATCCATCCTCAGGCCTTGGGTCCAGGCAGGGCTGTTCCTGTAAATACCAGCTCCCTTACATATGCATTTTTCCTCTATGATTTTTTCCTGTTTTGATGAAACACTGCTCTTGGCTGTGAAGGTTCCCAAGAGGGGCTCGAGGCCCTGGCCCAGCCAGCCGGTCATTCAGGAACTCTGCTCCCAGGCCCAGCCCCACACCCTGCCGAATTCCACCGGGCCGTAACCTTCCTGCCCCTGCCTGAATGAGGCTCGTCCCTCCCCCACCCTCAGTTCCCAGGGGTCCCAAGCTCACCTCCTTATCACTTTTCCTGAAAAAGGCTGCATTCCAGCCCGAAGCGAGACTGGCCCCCCTCCTTTCTGTTTTCTTCCAGGCTGGGGATGGGAGAGTTTGCTCAAGTCCATGGCCACGCCTGCCTGGGTCTGAGCCCACCGCGTGGCCCCTTTTACAGGCTGCCTGTGGAGCAAGGACGGGGGTTAAGTCCATTAGCCCGTCCATTTGTTTGTTTGTCCATTCCTTCAGCAAATGCTCTGAGCACCTACTGTGTGCCAGGCACTGTTCTAGGCACTGGGCATAAGAAGAGGGGAGTTAAAAAGTGTCACCGTGTAACAGTGCTGTCACCTTCCCTGTGAAGTGTAGCTGCTCCCACCGGCTCCACTTTTCAAGGCAGAACGGAAGCTCCTGGAGCCCATGCAGGTGCCGGGACTGCGGGTCACCTCTCAGCCACCTCTGTGGGGGTCACTTTGAAAGGCCCCTGGAGCCCTCTGCAGTCCTGACACCTCCTCAACCGAGTTGAGCTAGAGTCCAGCTCTTGCTTTCTGCCCGGCCAGGCGTCCTTGGGCAGCAGACAGCCTGCCCAGCGTACACGGAGGCCACAGCCCAGCCCAGAGGTGCTGGCCCGGGACCGGGAGGCCAGGTGTCGGCAACTCCACACTCCAGAGTCAGTTCTTGGGGCTCCGTTAGCTCCCGGGTTTTCCCTGCTGCGTTTCTGGCCTGTGAGCTCTGCTCTGCCCGAGGCCCTTCTGTTGAAAGTATTTGTCCTGAGGAATTCCAAGTTTTATTTATTTTAAAAAATACATTTTTATTGATTTCAGAGAGGAAGGGAGAGGGAGAGAGAGAAACATCAATGATGGGAGAGAACCATTATCGGCTGCCTCCTGCACGCCCCTGACAGGGGATAGAGCCTGCACCCCGGGCACGTGCCCTGACCAGGAATCGAACTGTGACCTCCTGGTTCATAGGTCGACGCTCAACCACTGAGCCGCATCGGCTGGGCAGGAACTCCCAGTTTTTGATCTCACTGACCTGTTTACCCAGCCCACCATCCTGCGGGTTTGTTCTTCATTCATTCTTTCAACAAGCAGCATGTATTCAGTGCCAGGCCCCTGCCAGGGACGGAGGGGCAGGTGTACCAGATGTGTGTGCTCCTGTCCCCAGGGAGCTCACAGGTTATGAGGCAGTGAGAGGGCCGGAGAGGCTCGAGACCCGATGGGAATAGCCAACCCCCGCGTGGCATCCTCAGGCCTGGGCTCTGCCTTCTCCCGTTTGTTAACTCACGTGATCCTCACGGCTGCACCTCGGAGGTGGGTAGGATCTGTTACTATGAGAGTTTGGTACATTGGGAAGCGGAGGCACAGAGAGGTTAACTAACTTGCCCAGGGTCACCCAGCTAGTGGCCGAGCATCTGGTTCCCCAGTCTGTGCCCTTCACCCCAGCAGGGTGCTGCCCGGCTGTGAGCCTGCTAGATAGAGAAGTGGGAACAGCGCATGTCAGTCTGAGGACTGCGAAGGAAGCGAACGCTCCCAGGTGTGTGTGTGCGGCAGAATCGAGGCCAGCGGGCCCCTGGGCGGAGCAGCCCTGGGCTGGTG